ACTCTTAATCTTAATGGGGTTTTTTTTTTTTTAAAAAAAAGTAGAAGCTAAAATGGTTCACTTATATTATTGTTTGATTTTAAAACATCTTATTTTTCATTTAAAGATTTAAAACAATTATAGTCTTGTAGGTTTTAAGGTTTAATAATTACTTTTACCCTTACTAATTTTTTTTAGATAAGTTAAAATATATTAATATAGAATTTAAGGAGTACTCATATTTATATACAAATCCTATATCAAAGTTGTTTTCTTACATAAAAAGCCTATCTAGTCTAACAAACATAGAAATTAAACAATAAAATCCAAAGACAAAAAGATGCTAGAGCCATCTAATGCAAAGTTTAAGATTAGGGCGCCACTGTGAGAACGCAAATACACTCCCCTTTGTCATTCCACGGAGCCAAATGAAAGTTCTTCTTTGGATCATTTCAAAGGCTGTCATCTTAACCCAAAGGATTGAATTATGCAGAATTGAATTCTTCATAAACCAAATTGACCCAATAAACACAAAGAAAATAGAAGACTAAACCTCTGCTCTAATGTAATTTTAAATTCCAACACAATATCTTCTACAGAGTTGATGGATATTTGTTGGAGATGTGACATTAAGGCCCCACCAATTATAACACCTTTTCCACAAATGTTGTGTCTTATTGCATTTAACAAATTGATGGTCAACACATTCCACCTCTTCGAAGCAAAGAAGACATAACAGGGCCTTGTTGTCGAACAAAATATCTTTGCGATGAAGTTCAGCTTTTGTGGGAATACCCTCACCAATTTCTATCATTTGTATTTTTATAGTAAGTAGGTCTCACTTCAAATAAAAGGCCACCACATATTTGCATGAAATAACTAAATGATCAAAGTTGCAATACCCCTAAAAGTGAAATTACAAAAAAAGAAAAAAAGAAAAAAAAGGAGAGGGATAGGAAGAGGAGTTGAGAAGTGCAGTAGGCTTTATATTTACCTAAAAGTAAAAACAAAAATGGAAAAAGGGACCAAGTGACCAACTTACAAGAGAAACATACCAAAAAGGAATTGACAAGCCTAGTAGGTTTATATTATTAAGACATTTTAGATTACTAAAATCTTCACACGATATGTGAGAGTCTATCATGTGAATGTGAAGGGAAGACAAAACAAGAAAAATGTGATAGATGCAAGTACTACTTATTTGTACTTTTAATTTGCTATTTAAAATTTTAAGAATTCACTTTATCCAATTGCAAAATTTTGAATTCCATGGGGAAGTTATAGGTTCCAACTAAGGAGACACGTAATCTTTCCTATACTACAACGTCATTCCTATAGCGTATAGGCCCCCAGCTCGAAGGGAGTAAAGATTCGGCCATTCTTCGCCTACGGAATACCCAACCCAACCTACCCCCACTATATATATATATATATATTTTAGAGAAAAAATGATTAAAAATTAAAAATTAGGTTAGTAATTATTTTGGTAAACTGCCCTAATTAAGAGTGTAATTCATCGAAAGCCTTGTTGGGATGCAGTGACCACCAATAAACCACAACAAATGAATGCCTCTCATTATATATATTGTACTAGTAATGATATGTTTTTTTTTTTAATAAGGGCAATTACTTACAATTATCGTTACATATTTTTTAATAGAGAGTAGGGAAACATGAGTTGAGCTCAAACACAATACATCTAACGGTATTTTCATTTATAAAATAAAGTGTTGTTGTTTTGCCCATCGCATGAAAAGCTAATAATGATATGTATAGAATGGTGTCTTTCATTATAAGTTTCTAATGCAATATTAAAAATTGATTTTTTTTTAAGTATATTAGAAAGTTAATTACTTAGTAATATAAAAATTTGAGTTTTTGAGTTTAACACTAAACTAAGGATTTTAATTTAATAAACACTAATTTGTTCAAATTCTTATTAGTAGCAATTGTTAGGTTGTTTTGCTCTCTTGATAATTTAATCCAATAGTTTTTATTACATGATATTTTAGTCTCAAAGGTTTTAAATATTTACAAATAGGTCAATAAAAGTACTATTAACAACATTAACACATTTTTGAAAAAGAATTTGTAATTTTGCAATTGAAACTATGACCAACTACAAAATTGGGACCATTTGATGGGGGAGGGGGGGTTACTCTTACATTTGGCCTGTTCTCATTTAATGATTTAAATATTTGTGGGACTAAACTGTCAACATCATTAATATTTTAAGATTAAACGATTAAAAAAATTTAAAACCCAATATAAAAAGATATGTCGGGCGTGCAGAACCGGGCGGGTGATCCGCACCCACGCATGTTCATCTCTGGACCTGGCACTGGCATACTTTCAAAAGTTATGGACCTAGATCCAACAATAAGATGGGCCAAAAAAACCCAAACCCAAGATCCATCACATTAACCGCCAAGCTCCATTCAGACCGGAACGCAGCGGCAAGATTAGCAGCCTCACCGGAGGGATTTCAAATTACGGTCGCAGTCAAATCGTCGCGGCGGCGTTTTTTTTTTTTTTTTCTTCTCTCCCGATTTCTTCCTCTCTTTTCGTAGGATTCTTCCGTGGCGCAACCTGGTCTCTTCGAATTGGACGATTTAGGGTTTTAGATTTCGGATCTTTGTGGCTGTGATTGGGAAGACCATGTCGGCATCCACGGTCTCTATCACGGCGAACCCAGCTGCTCGGCGGAGGCCTGTCTTGGCTAACGAGAAGAAATCCAACATCGAAATGGTGCCCGCCGAACCCACTCTTAGTGGCGCTATTGTTGGCGCCGATAAGGCAACTGCCGGCCAAAGTAAAGATCTGAGCCATCACTCCATTCGCGGCGAGGCAACTAGGGATTTGCTTCAGGCCAAGAAGCCGGCGCTGGCCCACAACTCGACGGTTTCTCCGCGGCGGACACGTAAAGCGTCGTCGAAAACGGAAAAGCCGCGCTGGCTGACGGTGCTGAGCATTTTTACCAAGAATTTGGTGCTTTTGTTGGTAATGGCGGGATTGGTTCAGATGATTTGGAGACTGGTTCTGAGATCTGGGGAATCAAGTATGCTTGGGACAAATATGGGATTATCAGAGATAGAGAGCAGGATTGCTGAAGTCGAAAGTTTTGTGAAGACCACCGCCAAGATGATTCAAGTTCAGGTAGATGTTGTTGATAGGAGGATTGATAGCGAGGTGGGTGGATTAAGGCGGGATTTAAACAACAAGATAGAGGACCAACGTAGTATTTTACAAAATGCACTAGAGAACTTGCAGGATAAGAGTAAGGAGTTGGAAAATTTCATGAATGAATTGAAGAACGTGAATTGGCTGACAAAGGAAGAGTTTGAGAGGATATATGAAGAGCTGAAGAATAGCAAGGGTGAGAGTGGGGAAAATGAAAATAATTTGAGCTTGGATGGTATGAAAGCATATGCAAGGGAGATCCTTGAAAAGGAGATTGAGAAACATGCTGCTGATGGGCTTGGAAGGGTAGACTATGCCCTGGCTTCAGGAGGGGCTATGGTTGTCAGTCATTCGGAGCCATATTTGGCTGGAAAGAGAAGTAACTGGTTTTTGATTGGTAGCAGAAATGTAGTTCGTGATGATGCTAATAAGATGTTGAAACCAAGTTTTGGGGAGCCAGGGCAGTGTTTTCCCCTGAAAGGAAGCAGCGGGTTTGTTCAGATTAAGCTTCGAACTACTATAATTCCGGAGGCTGTTACTTTGGAACATGTTGCCAAGGTAACGCGTTTATTTTCCTGTTTGGTTTGATATGCTGTGAAGCTGTTTCTTTTACTTTTAGTCTTCTAATGTTGCTGTTTTATTCTTCATTCTGGTTACATATGGTGACTTTGATAGTTTTCAATTACCTTAGATTGACCCTGAAGCTTTAACATCTATGAATGCCATTATTATATTATGTGAGAAAGTTATAGAGTCCTGCTTAATGGATTAAGAATATACTCGTTATTCAGAGATATGAATAACTTGCAGACTAAGAGGTAGGCTTTGCATTTGTTACATTTATTATTCTAATCAGAGTGTTGAGTGTGCAGAAAGCTTTTTCTAGTGTTCTGATAGTTGCATGTTCTGCCAAACATGTTTACTTTAAGTGAGACAATGTCTTGTGCTTACGCTTATAACACGAGGTGAAACTTCAACTGTGATGAAATATGAATGCATTTTCACATTCTGGTTTGGTCAGTTGTGACTCTATTCTTTAACTGTTTATCCTTTAAGTAGTGAGTTTCATGTTAGATTGAATCAATAATTGAAGATTGAAGTGACTATTTTATAGAAGGAAACTCTGTGTGCGCCCATTGGAGATTTTAATCATACCATTCTTGTTTATCACAGTTATTTTATGAGCATTTAGGTTTCAAGCACAAATAGTATAGTTTAGGGTTGTTGATTGGTATTCATTGACTTTGCTTTTCATTTACTAGTCCCTTGATTAATCATTGTGTAAATGTGGTTGAATAGTTAATTTGAGGAGAATGGTTGGACTACATTACAGTCTTCTTCTTAGACCTTGATGTGTCTTTCATATTTATTTTTTCATATTTTGGATTCTTAAGACTGAATATGTACGGTCTGCAAAACCATAAATGAAGGGAACTTAACTCATTAAGCCCACTTTATTTGGTAAAGATGAGTTGGTGTCCTTTATTGCTAAATATTTCAGTTGTTGCTCGGAACAAGTATATTGAACTCATCCTGAGAGGAAGACTTTGTGTTATGGTCATCATGTTAGTAAATGCCTTGTTTGGTCGATGTGGTTGTAAACAATGATAATCATACCTTAGTGGATAAGGAAAGTAAGAAACAGTTGGAAATTTGGCCTCAGTTAAACTGTTAAAACAAGGAAGTATCCTAGTTGATGCATTAGTTAGTCTCCATGACCATGTATCCCACTTATTTCTATTGCTGCGTCTCACATTCCATCTGACACACAAGAAGCATTGCTTAGAATAGAAGTTCCTTTCTTTCCACCGTTCCTAAAGTGGCAAGTTGTTTTGCAGGTTTGAAATTCATGGCTAATTGTGTTTTTTTTTTTTTCTTTCCCCTCCTATTGTAATATGAACAGAGTGTTGCTTACGACAGATCAAGTGCTCCTAAATATTGCCGTGTCTCTGGTTGGCTGCAAGGACATGAAGATACAGCAGTTGATGCAAGAAAGATGTATCTTTTGGCAGAGTTCACATATGACCTAGAGAAGAGCAATGCACAGACTTTCAATGTGCTCAGTTCTGCAGATACAGGTGTTATTGACACGGTCAGGTTGGATTTCACATCGAACCATGGAAGCCCTACACATACCTGTATCTACCGCTTCAGGGTGCATGGTTATGAACCAGGTTCTGTTTCAATGATGACAATGCAGCGCTGAAGAAAATATGGAAGCTGGGATCCCTCTTGTAATTGCCCTTTTTTTTGGCCTTCTTAATCATTGTTTAGATCCTTGCCACGACTTTCTACTTGGTAGATGCTGTTCTGATCTTCTTCATTATGTATGAAATGAATATGTATCTAATGTTTTGACAAGGTATGCTGATTGAATCGAGTCACACGAGCTGTATGAACTCCTTGTTGAAGAAGATCAATGTGTCCTAGTCAAAGTTCAAAGGGACCGGGGGAGCTAGGATTCTCCATCTCCAATTGTCAGCAGTGTCCCCATTTGTTTGACATTGGATTCATTAAAACTGGGTGGGACTTGGGGGCACCAAACTCCGTTGAGAAATGGAGGAGACTGCCTCTGGAATCCCAACCAAATCCAAAACATCATGTCTTTAGAGACACGTAGAAAGCAACCTAAAGTTCCTCTTTATTGGGAAATTCTGTACTTGTCCAGAAAGGCAGGAACCGACATCCACTGTAAACCGGGAGAATGCCTCCTTTTCTGCTGTTTGACCGGTTTGATTAATCTGTAATCTTTTGCTTCCAATTTGACTAATAATAAAGCTGGAGCTATAAGGATAACTTTTTTTATTTCATCTTTTATATAATTTTCATATATTATTAAATGAGTGAACGTATTCAATATCGTTGGTTTTATATAAATTAAAAGAACTAATCATTTTAATAATACATTAGTTGGGACAAAAAAGTTATCTCAATATCATTTCCCTAATAATAATTCCCGAATTCATATGAACTAGATTCATCTTGGCACAGCTAGCTTTTTCCTTATGTTTAGAGTTCTTTCTTTAGTATTTTGCATGTTTTATAAGGAAAAAAGGATTATTCTTGGCACATCTGCATAATTATCAAATAAATCAAACTTAGCTGCATGTTAGTGCATAGTAACTTGAATTACAAATGTCTCACTTTCAAAGGAAAAAGATTATTTCCAAACTACTACATGTTGTATGTTGTTCAAAAGAATTTACTCCGATGGTTTAATTTTATTGCCTCACTTTTTAATTTTTTAACTTTATATATATCTAAACAATTTAAAAATATTAGAAAATTTTATAATTAGTTGTTAAAACATTTATCACTAATAAATATTTATGAAAAGTGTGTTTGTCAAGATTTCTAAAAAATTAGAAGAAAAATATCACAAAACTATATCATTTTAATAAATTTATATTGAAAAATATTAAAATAACATTTTTTAAATGAATTTTTTTTTTATGATGCTTTAATGAAACAACATAATTTTAGGTGTTTTATCTCTTAATTTTTTCAAAGTTTAATTGATAAACACAACTATCATATTTTATAATTTTTTTAAAATAGATAAAACAATAGAGATAAACTAAATTAAAACACCCAAAATCCAATTTTTAGTGAGAAAACTATTACAGACTAAGTATAACCCTTTTTTTGGGTTAATGTAGGCTTTGTTTAGTATAACTATAATTTTAGTTTTTAGTTTTAATTTTTATAAATTTTATAACTTTAAATTAAAAACTCATTTACTTTCATATGTTTTAATAATATATTATTATAATTACTAAAGAAATAAAAATAAATTCCCAACGAGCAGATCACCATCCAGAAAAGCAGCACTCCATTACCATTTTTTTTTTTCTTCAGTCTAAAAAAGAGGTACTCAATCCCATGATTTGGTCTACAGGCCACACGTGGGGGTCCACTTTCCCAATGCCATTTTATTATCACTTTCCACCCAAAATCTAAAACCCCCAAAACTAAACTTCCCAAAAATTCTATTCTTTGTTTAGATAAAAATTAGTTAAGAAGGAAGTGCTCTCTTCTCTTCACTTTTCTCTCTTTCTCCTTCAACTTTTTCCATTCAAACATAGTGATAAAAAAAACTTCAAAATTAAAGCAATCTCTAGAAGTTAAAAAATGAAACTTTTCCAAGAAACGAGACAAACAGCGAATTTGGAATGGGAAAGGAGACGTGTTTTTGAAAGGGATATTTGAGATTCGATCCCAACATTTGACCGTTTCTTTCCGTTCAATCTTCCTGACCCCGGGAAAGCTCATTTTCTATTACCACTTGCAAAATACATATAAACAAATCCAAATCCAAAGACCCCACTTCGCACGTAAATCTATATCACCTCTCTGGTTCAGTTTCACGTTCAAAGACGACACCTTTTTGTGAATTCGATGATATCTGCTTTTCGAAGGGGAATTTCGTCGAACACCAGACGAGGATTCTCAGTTCCAGAACTGTTGAGCGTTCTGGTTCGTGTCATCGTGTTCCCTCTGTCTTTTCTTTGTCTCCTCTCCACATTTTCTTGAGAAAATGGTTTGCTTCAGTTGATTTTCTCGAGAAAATACATTGGAGTTTTCTCTTGTCCTTCGTGAATCGACATCGATATTTATTCCTCTGTTTCTTCATTGAATTGACGGAGTATAACAATTTTCTCTTTCTTTTATAACATAAATGGACTGTTTCTGCGGTTCCAAGTGGGAAGGTTTCTGATGATCAATGAAGAGATTGAAGTTTCTGCCATTACTGATCTAATGAAAAGGGAGAGGAAAAATCAGGTTTTTATAGGCAAATCTTTCTATTTTCTTTAAGTTTGTCAGCCCTTTTTTTTTTTTTTTTAAATGTTTTGTGTTATTTCTGATTTTTTTTTTCATGTTCTAATTTTCAGAATTTAATTCGTAAAATTTTCACCATAAAGGGATGGAAGAATAAAAACAAGGAGATTGAATGTTCATTTGATTCCTCCGGTGAGTGAGAAAACCATCAGTTTGTCATTGGTTTTCTTATATGAGAAGAAAGTAGAAAAAAAAAAAAGTAGGAAGAGATTATGCTTTCCTTAGAATAGGAGATTCAACTTGATAATGTTTCCATTTTTTTTTTTCTTTTTCTCCTGAAGATTGTATTCCAATGTTCTTTTCCTGGAAATGACTATGTGTTTGGGAAATGGGAATCTTTAATAAGAAAAGCTAAGCAAAGAATGGTATTCTTACGTGCTCTAGTTTTTTTCCTTTTTTCTCTGTGGCTTATAAGTCTTATTCTCTGCTTAAACTTAACGGTAAAGTACAAGGAAAGCTTTATGTTTCTTTGCTGCCATGGCTCCTCTCCAAAGAACATTTATCAGTATGAAATGTTGTAGTATCTTTGTGTTCTGGTCTGCTTTGTTTCTTATCTGAAAAATTCATGATGTTGTTTTCTACTCGCAGGAGCATGCTCTGATTCATCAATTGAATCTCTCTTCTTCAGAAGTCCATCCGCTGCAACATCAAATCAGAATGCTCAGCCCTTCCGGTAGTCATAACACAGTTTTTCTTCATCTTCATTTTCCCCATCCATTTCACTACACCGATTGTTTAGTGTTGTTTTGTTTGCCTTTTAGAGTTGTTGTCTCAACATGGAATGTAGGAGGCAAATCTCCGCCCAACAACCTAAATCTGGATGATATTCTTCAGGACCGTATTCAAGCGGACATATATGTGTTAGGGTATTCTCTCTAACTTCCTTTACTTTTCGCAGTCTCATCTTCAGCTAGTGACTTTTAGTGTTCAATCGATTCTTTTGAGTTTAATAATTTTCTCTTCAAGACTTTGGAGAGGCTTTGAGTAAAGTTATTCAAATCTTTTTACTATTCACCTTGTCTTCCGTGTGTTAGTCAAATATCGAGTTAAGATGCTTTTCCTTCTGCCGATGAAGCTCCTGGTTGTCTTTCTAGATTGTTTCTTTAATAACCTAGATGCTTCTAACATGTTCATAGTTTTCCTTATTGATTTTCTCTTTTTTGAATTGTCAGCTTTCAGGAAATTGTGCCGTTGAATGCGGGAAATGTGTTAGTTATAGAAGATAATGGGCCTGCTGGAAAATGGCTGGCTTTAATAAATCAGTCACTGAACCAACAAACACCAGTTGAAGGAATAAGATCCACTGCCACTCTTGGTGGCTCACTGTTCTTTCAAAAGCAATCCCTCAGAAAGATCAGTAATACTTTCAGGACAGAGAGTAAGAGCAGGCTGAAGAGTTGCAACTGTGCTCATGAACTGGAAAAGAAGTATAGTAAGGAGTTTTGTTTCCGGTGCCCACCGGCACGGTTGAATATTAGTGAAGGAGAACTGTCTTCAGAAGAGGATGAAGATGGATCTAGCAGTTTTCCAATGATGGATATATCCACTCCGCTCAGTACTAACCAGATGAACTATGGTCTTGTAGCAAGTAAGCAAATGGTGGGAATTTTCATCACTATTTGGATGAGAACAAGGCTAATTCAACATGTAAGCCACTTGAGGATCTCTTGTGTAAGTCGTGGGATCATGGGCTGCCTTGGGAACAAGGTAACTTGGAAATTTAATTGCATTAAAATGGATCATATTTTTTCTATAAAAATATATATTATCTGAAACAAAATATGTATTTTTTTATCTGAGGTTGCAGGGTTGTATTGCTGTGAGCATGTTTTTCCATCAAACAAGCTTCTGCTTTGTGTGTAGTCACCTGGCATCTGGCGAGAAAGAAGGAGATGAGCTTAGAAGAAATTCAGATGTCATAGAGATACTTAAAAACACACAATTCCCAAGGATCTGCAGATCATCTCAAACTAGGGTGCCTGATAAAATTCTAGAACATGAGTGAGCATTTACGAAACCATTGAGAGAAGATTTCAAAGTCTTTGAAAAATGTCTTTTCTGTTTTAATGTAAATAATCTGAGTATCGTTTTCCTTTTAACAATCGGCCCTAGTCGTGTCGTATGGCTAGGTGACCTGAATTACAGGGTTGCATTAAGCTATTCAGAGACTAGAAAGTTTATGCAAGAGAAGAACTGGGATGCGTTGCTTAGCAAGGATCAGGTAACTTCTTATCCTCTGAGAGAAATTAAGGACGTATTGTGCAGATATGGTGCAGAATTTCACCTTTTCTGATTTATATTTTTCTTAGGAAAACATCGCTATTTCTGACATAGATTTGGTGCTTATTGGATTTGCAGCTCATCATTGAAAGAGATGCAGGGCGAGTATTCAAAGGATGGCACGAAGGAAAGATCTGTTTTGGACCAACGTACAAGTACTCTTTGAATTCTGATTTTTTTGCTGGAGAGATAGTGGAAAAGAGAAACAAGAGGAGACCAGCATGGTATGTGCATAAAAATTAAAAACGTTAATCAAGATTACCCATCCAGACAATTTCTTACAACATTTAACACTCCCAGGTGTGATAGAATACTATGGCATGGAGCTGGAATAAGTCAGCTTTCTTACATACGTGGAGAGAACCGGTTTTCTGATCACCGTCCTGTAAATGCAACATTTTTGGTATATGCTGAGGTTACTGAATGCGGATTGTGAGGGAAAACATCTGGGCCAAACATCTAGGTGAGAATTGAAGAGCTCTTACCTCCCACCAATACCTAGATACT